TTTTTTCCGGGCCCAACGCACCCCTCTCCAGAGCAGTTGCCCTGGAGTGGAATATTGATCCCCCCCCCGAGGGCTCAATCCCAGGGACGTCCTGGAGTTGAACACTCGGAGATTCAGACGTTGACGAACCCCGTAATCTTTACACCGAATCTAACAAGGGTTGAGCGGGAACAGGGCGCTGAGATTTCAGGGCCTCCTGAAAATCTCTTGCATGTTGCTGAGCCGCAGAAGCGCTACAGGACTCACGCAGTTGAAGCGGGGAGTCAACCCAGCTTCGGCAAGAGGATGCAACTGATCGCTGACGGACTTTGTGACCCAGCGGAACATCTGCGGTTGGCAAAGGGCTTGGATCACCCTTTCGATTCTCTGAAGTCGCTCAAGCCCGAGCATGCCGCCGCAATCGTGGAGTTTGTCGACGCACAGAATTTGATTTCTAGAAGGTTGGACGCATTGCACATGTTGAAAACTTGGGCAAAGGAGTTGAGGGAGGGACAGTCACAAGTTAATAAAGGCGCTTCTTGGACTGCCAAGAAACTAGGCACCAGGGTGAACACGCTCCTTATGGAACGTCTCCAGGACCTCCTGAACATCGAGGATAAGCAAGTCCCAGGGTTGTGCTTGAAAGAACTTAAGATCACAGGCAGAGCTCATGAGTCGCCTTTCTTCGAACAATTGGAGGTCAGCCCAAGTATGTCACAAGATGAGTTCATCGCAGGCTGCAGTGAACGATCGGAACGAATGATTGAGCGAGTCCGATTCATGGCAGAGAAAGGATCCAACGAGCTGGCTTGTGCCATCTGGGAAAAAACCCAGAAGGAAGTCAAAGCCGGCACCATGGGCCCGGCCATGACTTTACAGCAGGCAAGGTCTTTGTATCCAGGTCCTCTCCAGGTCACACCGAGTTTCGGCTTGGAACAGGGACAGGACACTGAGGGTCAGAAGAAATACAGAAGGATCGACGACCATACTGCATCCGGAGTGAATCAGGCAGCACATCGAATGCAAAAGGTACCCATGGTTATGGTGGACTACGTGGGCGTCCTATGTAGAGCTTTAGCCAGATCTGTTGAACAGATCTCGATGGCTACCGAGGATATGAAAGGCGCATACAGACAGATCCCACTCTCACCAGAGGATGTACGTTTTGCGATTACAGCTGTCTACAACCCGGAGCAGCAGGAGGTGTCGCTCCACGAAATGTACGGACAACCCTTTGGGGCAGGCCATGCCGTGCCAAATTTTTGTCGTGTGGCAGAGTGGATAGCGAGAGTGATCCAACGATTATTCTCTTCGACCACGGACCACTTCTTTGACGACTTTTTCGTTGTGGAACCGACCGCAACCATCAAGTCTGCTGTTTTCTGCCTCAGGGAAACATTTCAGGTTCTCGGATTCCAGCTGGACCCGGAGAAGTCGCAACCTCCGGCTGAGGTATGTGCCATCCTGGGAGTTTGCTTCAACACCGAGTCTTTACACAGTCAAAAGATTATCCATGTCGCGGCCAAGGAGACTCGCCTGGCCTACCTCCAAGACACCATTGATAGGGTCTTGAGTACCGGTCGGCTTTCTCCCGCCCTCGCAGGCAGCCTGGTCGGGAAGTTCCAATTTTTATGTTCCACACTCTTTGGGCGCGTGGGACGTTGTTGCACGGGGCCGCTTCGTCGCAGACAATACGCCTCGTATCCAGTCGAGACTTTGACGGCTGAGCTCATCCTGGCTTTACGCCAGATGAAGGGCTTCCTTTCCACGAGTCCATCCCGTGAGTTGAAAGTTCATCACATCAACCCCATCCTGCTATACACAGACGCCTCGGATGTTCCCGAGCGTGTACCGCAGCGAATATTGGGAGCCTTTCTTCATGATCCCATCGACAAATATTCTGGGTACACGGCCTGGCCCGTCCCAGAAGCCCTCGTTGAGAAATGGCTTCAACGCAAGTCATTTATGGGCCAGCTGGAGCTTCTGGCAGCCCCGGTAGCTTTTGAAACTTGGCGTACCCGCCTGCAGAACCGCTCAGTTTTTCTCTTCTGTGACAACGACAGCGCGTCAGCAAATCTGGTTCGCGGCTACTCACCCCAGGTCGATAGTTCTTCCATCGTCGGGGACTTTTGGCTGACAGTAGCCAGGCTGAAAGCATCTGTCTACATAGAAAGAGTTGAGAGCAAGTCAAATCTTGCAGACGGCCCTTCTCGTTTTAATTTTTCAGAGGTCCGCGATTTGGGAGCAACTTGGACACGTCCTGATCCCGGCGTGTTGGGACGAACCCCCACACCCCTGCATCCCAATGTGGCGCACTGGAGCAGCGGGGGGGATAGAGTTACAACACCAGAGCGCCCCTAACGTGGCCACCGGGGGGAGAATGCTCTGGGTGTCGACTCTACGGGTGAGCAACTCTTGTTGTAGGTCCGCAGGGCACACGCATGGGTGCTAGATGCGGATATCAACGACAAGAGCGGGTGGCGCCAAGTTCCCATATCCAACGAAAGACCTCGAGTGAGCACGAAGAGGAAAAAATTGGTTTGGTGGAGCGGCTTGAATATTCATACAGTATATTATATAATATAGTGTATATATATATATATATTTTGACTCCGAGGCACGAGACCTTGATAGTAGCCTTGCGAGCAGACCCTGCAGGGCTATGTCGATGGCATTGAATTCTTTGACGCAAAATTCTTTGGCATCTCCGCTGCCGAGGCACAGCATGGCCGGGTTTGTTGGGGAAGCTGAATCTTGTTGATCTTGCTTCTTGATTGGTTCCTGATCTTTTTTTGGATAGTGCTGGCGCACCGAACCATTAGAGATTCAAAGGCACATGCGGTAAGGAATGGCGACAATAGCTGCGATCAACTTTGACGTGCCAGAAGAACCCTTCAAGCAAGGAGCGTGTTCTCCGGGCATCATTGAAAAAGACCAATCCTCAATCTTCTCGCATGCCAGGCAGCAGCCATGGACCCGAACCAGCGCAAGGCAGGTTGCATTTTGGCAACAACCCAATATGTGAGACATTGCATGAGGGGTTATGAGGGGTTGTTTTCCCTGATGATCGTTGATGTCAGATGGATCTTGGACAGAGTCTGGATTCTCAGTTCACCACTTCCTTGCTCATTCCTGCGGGCAGACTCTGGAAATTGCGTACGAAAGCATCAACATGGCAGGCCGTCCGGCAGTTTCAAGAAAAGCCTTTGCATCCATCTGCAACCAACCACACCATGTCTATAAGAGTGAACCAGGTCCTCGACTCTGAAGAATATATAGATGTGCAATCTACTGCAAGCTCCATAAAGAAGGACATGTAGCTGGACAGCTACCGAAGCCAGGCATTGACATGCCTTCCCTGAAGCGCAGTCCACAGCACATCGGCCAAAAGCTGAGATCAGCCCAAAGGAACGAATCCAAAGAGACCAATCTTCCCTGTTGAACTGTGACACATATATTCCCTTCTTTTACCAATGTTGCTTGTTCAAACTTCGGACACAGCTGAACCTGCGCTTTTAGGTTGCTTTGTTGGTGTCAGCGGATCAGAGTGGCGCTGTGCTTAGACTTCCCTTTGGTTGCACCATGAACGACACATTATTCATGGTGCATCAGGGGTATGGTACCTCACCCAGCAGACGCAGCAGGTTGTGGAGGTGCAGTCTTGGCTTGCCTGTGCCATTGGTTCTTTTGCTCAGCATGGGCTGCACAATTTGCAGTGCACAGGCGCAGAGGCGATCATCTCGAATCGGGTGAATTTCTCCTTGAACCTCAAGGGTGCCAGCAGCATTCTCAGAGTCTCTGGCAAGGTATGGGCGTGTGTCGGCGTGTGGGATGCTCGAAAATATCGAAAATAGGGGATCAAAAACCCTTGTAAAGGAAAAATCACCAAACATCTGCAGGTTCTGGGTCTTACTTCAGGTCAGACCATCAATACAGCTTGCTCAGCTGGACTTGTGGCACTGGCCTCAATGCACACGAAGTTGCCTGGCAAGATGTCTCGAGGCTTTTCCGGCATGCTGTGGTTTTGCAATCACACGGTTAGCAAGGTCATTTGCTGGCACTGGTTGAATAGTCTGATTGTTTTTCTTGTTGACACTGAACCTGACTAGCACTGGCTCAAGCTTCTCATTCTCGTAGCAACTTAAGTTTTGCATTTCTCTTTTCTCACTCTCCAGCAGCCTTTTAGTATCTTTTAGTTCCATAACCAAAAGCCTTTCACCTAGCAACACGAACTCTCTCAGCGTATCGCGCATCACAGTTCTGCACTTCATCACCTCCATCACCACGGACGGTCGCCATGGACGAGGAGGACGATCCCCATGACGGCCCTGGCCTTATCAAGCTCGATATGCAACTTGGCGGCCTGGTCTCACGGCCCAATTGAATGTATTTTCAATGAACACAGATAGTGAAACAGATGAACCTTGCTATAGGGTTGGAGAGATCGGTTCACGATGAAGTGGCGCTCTCGCTCTCTCTCTCTCTCTCTCTTTCCACTGGATTCCACTATTCTATGCTTGAAGTGCGTGGCAATTGGCTGTGTGGCTCGCGAAGCCAGGCAGCAGTTTGGAAAAGGCACTATGGAAGATCCCTTGCGGCATGCTCTGGGCATGCGCACGGCACAAGATCAGTACAAGATGCAGATGTGGAACAGTTTTCCATCTCTTTTCCAGAACACCATTTTCCATGGCGAGCAGGCGCTTGCCGGTGCTTGCACCTGTTGGAAGATGTTAGAAGTGCAACCAGCTCTTACAAGAGCTGCATGGTGTTGACAATCAGCTCTTGCTGGTAGGACAAGGAGGTGCAAAGACTACGAAAGAGCGGTTCCCTGTCCGAAAAGATGGCTCATGCGAAAGAACTGAAGGAGGAAGGGAACAACCTCTTGAAGTCGAGCAGGACACCCTGACACCTTGGTCTGAGCTGTTGTTTTGGCACGGGTGCTGTTGTTGGGTTCTTCAGGGTTAGACCGCTGGCGTTTGTCCGTTGTTCGTGAGAACCGAACAAAATCGATAGAGCAGCACATGAAAGCACCACGATAGAGCTCATCGAATCAGGAGACCGATCTCTGCGGGCTATAGTGGGCCAGACTCATTGAGTCAAGAGATTGAGCCGCCTGGTGATCGAAAGATCTGGAGCCGCCTGTGGGTGTCGGCTCTTTGTGGGAGATGAAACTTCCAACCACTTTCCAAGTGGGTGGCCAAGTGGGTTCAGGAGAAACTCAATTCCAAGATCCAGTGGGAAACGAGGTGGACATGAACACCAGGGGTTCTAAACCATGCCCTCCAGGGGAAAAAGGAGATCTTGATCCATCCATCTCATGCTAACCGCCGGGTCAGGTTCGAGTACCCTGCAGTTCGATCAAACTTGCACAAGGACGTGCAGTTTTTTCCCCTTGCACGCCGACCTTGTAGCCTTTTGCAGTCCTTTGATGAGGCAAGTAGAAGCGGCCATTTGGGAGAAGGAGCGCGAGTTGAAGGACGGCACCCCACGGGACGTCATCTCTCCTTCGGGAGGCTCTTGACACTTAGCCTCTCCAACTTGTCTCGCACATTTTGGAGGTCTAGAAACAAAAACATGGTGCTCAAATGTGCTCCAAACAAGGAACTTCCCAAGCACCCTGGGGTGGGTGGGGTCAGGCTCCCCACTTTTTCAGACAGATTGGTACTTGGTACTCTGCTCATCTCTGCTCCAGGAGCTGCGACAGCACCTGATTGCGCTGAAAGCTCAGGTCTGTCGTCCACAGGCCTCAACAGCCGTCTGTCACAGAAGTCGACGTCAGTTGGCTGTGGTGCAGATCTTCCGGACATGCAATTCTTGCGTTCGTGCTGGGCTTCAATTGCATGAATGTGGAGAAATTCATACAATTTCATTGTGTAAGTGTATTCATTTTTTGAGATCAACCTACCTCTTGTACCCCAGTCCCAGACTGGAAGGGCATAGGGGCATGAGATCGTGGCGAAAGTTGTCTGGGGTGATCAAGAGTGCTTTCAAGTTGAAGTTTCAGGTCACGGAAGCTTCGCAGCAAGACGACTTCGGCACCATTTTTTTTTAAACTTTAAACATAATTTTTATCCGTGCAGGAGCAGGAGATGGAGGAAGAGGAGGATGAGCAGCAGGGATTGGAAGAAGCAGTGCGGCGATATGAAAAAGCAGCTGGATTGCTCAGCCACTGGGCAACAGTACAAGAAGCAAATCTTGCACTCAAACCCAGAGGCCTCAGAACAGTTTGTTGTTCTGAAGCAGGGTGAATGTTGAGGTGCTCTAGAACCCAGAGCTTCATTGTATATTTAAATTTGAACTCTGGGATGCTAGACTTGGCCCTTGATGCTTGGACCCTTCCTGTATTGTGTAAAGGAGCAGATCATGACACTTTTCAAGCCTCAGGATATGTTGAGTGCACTCGTCCAGATTGGAAGAATGACGATGGCTCCTACAAGGCTGGGACCGGACGCTGAATCGGATGGCTGGAGGCCAAGCCGGCCAAGCTCCAAGCTCGTCAGATGCGCACTTTGGGACTCCTTCAGTCCATCGCGTTGGATCGACGTGCAGCCACGCTCCTTTTGCCGCGAGCCGGTTCGACCCGGTTCGTCGAGCCGATTCGACCCGGTTCGTCGAGCTGGTGCTGTTCGCGAGGGCATCGAGGACGACTTCCTGCGTGTGGACGAGACGGCCTTGCAGGGGCAGAGTGTTGGGGCTCAGGAGGCGACAGAACTCGTGACCTCTTGCTATTTGCGCCTAGGAAGATTTCCAGGGATGACCGGACAGTATCTTGCAGCATGCTCGTTTTGGATGCACTGGATTTCTGGTTTCATGAATCTGAAGGGTTTTAAAGAGGTGATGACCGTGACGGTTGCTGCTTCCTCATGTTTCCCTCAGGAAGGAGCTTGAGGTTTGGACTGTTGGCTTAAGCGAAGGAGATTCGGGGAAGAGGGTGATAATTGATGATAAGTGCATCGACAAATGCTCTTTGATGGTGTTTTGGCTCAGGAACATTGCGTTGGCTTCTCAAAAGCTGGGGAAGTTTGATGATATGAAGAAGGCCTGTGATGAGGTGCTCAACAAGGTGAACCCAGAAAGTGTCTCTTGGCAGGTGAAGCCCTGGATTGGTGGGTTGACTGTTGGCTCAAACTTGGAGCTGCTTGATAGGTGGGTTTCGTTTCTGAAGAACAGTGAGGATAGTCAATCAGATCTACGTTTCCTTTCTATCAGAGGCCACACTCCCCTATCAGAGGCCACACTCCCCTCTTTTTTTCCAAGTAAGGGTTTCTGTCTTCCCCTAAGTAGACTGGTAGACCCCCCTCACCTCACCACTTCCTTAAGGTGAAGGCGCTCTATCGCCGGGCCCAAGCGCGGATTGGACCTGCCTCAGCGGGGCCGACCGAGCGACAAGCAGCGATCCAGGAGGGATGCTGTTGATGCGAGCTTTCGTTTGGAGAACCTGGGGGGGGACACTACTAGGAGCAAAGGGCATCGCTACGAACGGAGCAAGGACGGTACTAGGGGCTCCTGGCCGTACTACTAGGAACAAGAAGCTACTAGGGACACCGATGCTCAAAAAACTCAAGGACTCCGAGGACATCAAGGACAAAAGCCCAAGACACAGTTCTGCAAAAATGGGCTGATCTTGTCTGATCGACATTGCATCTTCCCCATGGGCACATGGGCAGGACTTGTTGGCAGCTGCCAAGTTGGCTCCGGGTGACAAAGAGGCACGTGGTTGCTCTGACACGCTGTGTCTTGTGCTGAAAAGTTAAACTGGGCGGCCTCACATCTACTTTCATCTACTTTCTATTCTTTCTCGACTTCACTAAGTATGGGTGTAGGAAACCCACCCGCCCATAGCAGAGCCATGCTGACCAAGCTCCAAAAAGGTCCGAACATTGCTGACCAAGCTCAAAGCAGACAAGAAGAAGCAGGCTGCGCCGCAGATCTCTGGATGTTGGGAGATTGTGTGCAATGATGGGGCTGGAGAGTGACCAAAACAGACTCCCAAGCTCGAGTAAAAGAATGCAAGAGATAGAAATCGATTTCGTGTTTCTGTACAGGTCGTGCTTTCGCGGCGTTTGAACACTGCTCAGCCTCATGGCACGGGAGGAGCTGGAAGACAAAAGCACTTTTGGAGGTCTTTTCCAAAGAGGAGAAGTGGTCAGAAGCCCAACTTGGATTGTACATCCAGCTCATATTCCAGTTGCGCTCTTACAATAACCATGTGGCCAATGGCAAAAACCAGGAGTGCCTTTTCTCCCTTTTCCCGTCATCTCGACCCAAAACTCCGGCAGGTGAAGGATGTGCCCTTGCGAGTGACTCGAGCGGAGCCTGAGAAGTGGGATCTGAATGATCCAAGAGTGCAAGAGTATCTGGACATCCGTCCAGGCGCTTGCACGGCATAGGCGACACGCGGCCGAAGAGCGGCCAGCTGTGTAAGGAACGGCCTCATCTGGAAGAGAGAGAGAGAGAGAG